GTATTTATATGTATGTATTTATATATATATGAATATGTATATATATGTATGCATATTATATTTAGATCTGGACGTATCTTTCTATTGATGTATTGATATATATATATATATATATATAAATGTATATATATATATATATATGTATGTATATACCTATACATAACAGCTAAGCACCACATGTACAGAGTTACCTTCCAACACTCACACCTACCCACCACCTCACCCCTCCCCCCGCGCCGCACCAGTGTTTTCCAGCACCACAACGAGTGAGAAGCGTAAGATGCTGGAGCTAGACGCTGTGCTGAAGGAGTTTATGGAAGCTGTGTACACGTTTGTGCACAACGCAGCTGTGTTGGACGCTGGGCCCTTGCACGAGACCATCACGTGGCTGCTGAGCAGTTATGTTCACAGTGCCGAGCAGGTAGACCTGGATGAGATGATGGAGAGCCTGCCCAGCGACAAGGTCAGTGGGTGGGAAGAACCTTACAACCCTACAGCCCAACAACCCTACAGCCCTACAACCCTACAGCCCAACAACCCTACAACCCTACAGCCCAACAGCCCAACAACCTTACAACCCTACAGCCCAACATCCCTAGATCACTGCATCCCTACATCCCTGCATCCCTACATCCCTACATCCCTACCACCCTACGTTGCCTTGGTGGTTACTACGTTTTTATTAACTATGTTACTTCCTTTTCTATTAACTATGTTGCTACGTTTTATATCAACTGTGTGACTACTACTACGTGTTTTATTAACTGTGTTACTACTAATACGTTTTCTATTAACTGTGTTACTACTACTACGTTTTTTATTAATTGTGTTACTACTACTACGTTTTCTATTAACTGACCCGCTGCGTTGTGTATTTGCCCACACAGGAGAGGGCACATGTGTGGCAAGAGATTCGGTCACTCGACCAATACCACAAGCAGAAGAACAAGCCACAGAGTCAGCAACAGCAACAGACCGGTGAGTTGTTAACGGCAACAGAGTAATGAGCTGGGTTATAGTAGCAGAGTGATGACTTCAGTAGTAAGTTATAGTAGTAGAGTGATGATTTCAGTAAGCAACAGAGTGGTGAGTTGGATTATAGTAGCTAACTAACAATACAAACACACCAACAACAACCCACACCAACAGAGGGTGTGCACACCAAACCACTCAAGCCAGCACTGGTGGTCACCAGTCAGTTGGTGCCAGAGATGCAGAAGACTCTGGCTAAACGACTAGCAGGACAATCCACAGCAGAAGACCAGGTGGGTCATCCCATTATGTGGGTGCGCTTATGTGCCATGTTTCAGATATATATATATATATATATATATTTATATATTTATATATATATATATATATAGTATATATATATTTATATAGTATATATATAAATATAATATATTTATATATATATATATCTACATATGTTTACAAAATATGTTATACATGTATGTATGTATATTTTTATGTATATATATATATTTATATAAATGTATGTATGTATATCTATATATATATATATATATATATATATATAGCTCTTCCTCCATCCCACTGATCTCTTGACCACCCCATTCCGCCCGTGCACAGGATGACCTGCTTGCAGCTGCTGTGCAGCGTTCATCTGTTGCTGATCTACAGCTGGGCGCGAGTGCGGCTGAGACGGGTGATACACACGAAGGCAAAGTGGTGTCACACATCGCTGTGTGTTATGACCAACAGGGCGTGTATGCGTTAGAGAAGCACGGTAGGTATAACATACAACTGACATGGTAGGTATATCATACACATGACATGGTAGGTACAACATACACATGACATGGTAGGTATAACATACACATGACATGGTAGGTAAAACATGTAGGTAAAACATACACATGACATGGTAGGTATAACATACACATGGCATGGTAGGTATAACATACACATGACATGGTAGGTATAACATACACATGGCATGGTAGGTATAACATACACATGACATGGTAGGTATAACATACACATGACATGGTAGGTATAACATACACATGGCATGGTAGGTATAACATACACATTGCATGGTAGGTATAACATACACATGGCATGGTAGGTATAACATACACATTGCATGGTAGGTATAACATACACATGGCATGGTAGGTATAACATACACATGGCATGGTAGGTGTGCTGTTGTAAACATATGGCATCGTGCAAGTTCTGTATACAAATGGATGCTTGTGTGGGCGTGTTCATTCGCGTGTATGTGTTTGTGCTTGATGAAAATTGTTATCAATAGTGTATGTGTGTGAGTGTGTTTGGGATTGTTGAACATTCGTTGGCAATGGTGTGTGTGTGTGTGTGCATGTTTGGGATTGATGAACATTCGTTGTCAATGGTGTGTGTGTGCATGTGTTTGTTATTGATGAACAATCGTTGTCAATGGTGTGTGTGTGCATGTATTTGTTATTGATGAACATTCGTTGTCAATGGTGTGTGTGTGCATGTGTTTGTTATTGATGAACATTCGTTGTCAATGGTGTGTGTGTGTTTGGGATTGATGAACATTCGTTGTGAATGGTGTGTGTGTGTTCATGTGTTTGGGATTGATGAACCTTCGTTGTCAATGGTGTGTGTGTGCGTATGTGTTTGTACGAGTGTGCTGATTCCATATGGGCTGTAGTTGTGGGAAACCATATGCCCAAAAAACTCTAAATCCTAAATCATTAAAACCCTGAACCTCTAAAACTCTAAAACCCTAAGTGTGTGTGTGTGTGCGTGTGTGTGCGTGCGTGTGTCTGTGACTGTGTCTGTGTCTGTGTCTGTGTCTGTGTCTGTGTCTGTGTGTCTCTCTGTGTGTGTGGCACTTATTCTGGCTTGCTCTGTGCGTTATTGTGTTTCGTTTGCCAAACGTTTTTCAGATTCAGAGTCGAGTACACTTAAGCGGTTCGCAGTGATATGAAAGGGCGAGAGTGATCACCCAGACACCGATGGGGTTTATGTGGGTGGGCTAGTGGTTCGGTTGGGAGTACTATAGCGCTTTTGTCTGGACTCGAAACGAATGCTACGCGTGGCTATCACTTGGATGTAGAATGAACAGTGGTACACATACAGACATACGTCTGTTATATACATACAGACATACGTATGTTATATACATACACACATACGTATGTTATATATATAGACACATACGTATGTTATATATATACACACATACGTATGTTATATACATACACACATACGTATGTTATATACACACATACATACGTATGTTATATACATATACGCATTCGTATATTATATACATACACACATACGTATGCTATATACATACACACACACTTATGTTATATACACACATACATACGTATGTTATATACATACACACATACGTATGTTATATACATACACATATACGTATGTTCTATACATACACACATACGCATGTTATATACATATACACATACGTATGTTATATACACATACGCATGTTAAATACATATACACATACGTATGTTATATACATCCACAAATACGTATGTTATATACATCCACACATACGCATGTTATATACATCCACACATACGTATGTTATATACATCCACACATACGTATGTTATATACATCCACACATACGTATGTTATATAAATCCACACATACGTATGTTATATACATCCACACATGTATGTTATATACATAGGCATACCGATGCTATATACATACACACATACGTTTGTTATATACATCCACACATACGTATGTTATATACATCCACACATACGTATGTTATATACACCCACACATACGTATGTTATATACATCCACACATACGTATGTTATATACACCCACACATACGTATGTTATATACATCCACACATATGTATGTTATGTACATAGGCATACGTATGTTATACACCATCAGCAGTGGTCCCCATGTGGCTGTCTGTGTACTGAGTACTAACCACTTCATTCGTTCGCGCGTCTCGCCTGACGCACATCTTGTGAACAGGTTTTGCCGTGTGCAACGAAACGGCTGAGAAAAAGGACAAGGCCACCTACGTCATGTGTAAGCAAGCAACGGTGAGTATGTGGTGTGTGTTAGCGTGCGCCTGCTTAAATGGTCAGAATGTGATTACTCTCCTCCTTTACCACCAATCAGAATTGATCTCATCTTTCTCCACCAACCAGAATAGCTGCTCTCATCTTTCTCCACCAATCAAATCGACCTCTTACTTCTCCACCAATCAAATGACTGCGTACCATTCGCCCGTGCCGTTCCCTGCAGCCGCTGCACAACAGCATCCTGCCCATCACAGACATGACCGTCTCCAATTCACGCGCAGACGAAACTCGACTCAAACTCGGCGGATGGGTGCGCGTGGGAAAGTAAGTCAGTGGGGGCTGGTGGCTGTCGGTCGGGCAGTTTCAAAAACCCTAGAACCCTACAAATCGGTTGTCTGTGGAGTATGGGAGGGTGGTGTGGGTTGTAGTTGTGTGAATGAGTGTATGACATGTGATGCTGTTATGACTTGTATTGACAGGTAGGTATCCTTGCTTGTTTGTATACATATAAGGACATGCGTCTCTCCTGAGCACAGCCATGCAACAGTTTGGATTTCAGAGCCTACAGCCTTTCTGACGCGAGTTAACACCCACTTATGAAATGTTTCTCTTTTGCGAAGGGATTTGAGTAAAGGGTCTCTATTCGGTACGAGGATCAACATCTGGTACAAAAGAGGGACCACACAAGAGGTAGGTAATCTTACAAGTGGTAGGATACTTTTTTTTTCCAGTCCTTTTTCAGTCTTATACATTACTTTTCCAACCATGTACATTACTTTTTAAGCCATGTATATTACTTTTTCAGCAATGTACATTGCTTTTTCAGTCGAATACATTACTTTTCCAGCCATGCACATTACGTTTTCCGTCATCTTGTACCTGTCATTTGAAACACATCAGGAGTAGCTTTGTCCCCAGATACGCATGAACGGCACCTTTCGATTGGCTCTATCACTCCTTTCGCATTTGGTTGAACCCTAACTCTGCCTTCCTTTTACTTACGTACCTACGTTTCTGCTTTGTTCTATTTTGGTGCGTAGTATTCCAAGGCTATCAGCGACATACAGGTGGTGCAGGAGGGCCAATCGGTATGTGTGTGCCATTAATAGTATGCTACTAGTTGTTTGAAGTCTTGTTTGTTATTTGTAGCTGTGTGATGCTCTTAGTTGTTTTGTTGGTGATATAGAATGGTGTGAATGCTCTTAGATGTTTTTTTTGTGATATGTAGCAGTATGATGCTTTTAAGTGTTTTGTTGGTGATATAGAATGGTGTGAAGTTTTGTTAGTGATATATATATATATATATATATATATATATCGTTTCATATCATGTATCATGACATCATCTTTCTCTCTGACATATATTGTACGTTCTTCCTTGCCACATAGCCACCGGACAGTTCGTATGAATTGGTTGATCTCAACCTCAACAAGAACAGCATTCGGGGCAAAGCGCAGCATGTGTGGTTCACTCGCAAACTATGACAGTCTCACACCCCACTATACTACACCACGCCACACCACACCACACCATGACTGTCTAAATAACCGACATGCCTACGCAGCAGTACAGTCAGTCCATCGAACAAATATGGTCAGGGATTGCCGGCTGGTAAGGTTGTAGACGGGATGTATGCATCACTCTCTCTAGGATGTGATAGTGTGTTTGTTCATAGGATTAAGCTGATCCCAAGATGTGCATAGTGCACGCGGAGACGGTTTGTTCTGGTCGAAGATATATACCCCACACGGGATGACAGGCCGAATTGACAGACGAATGGACCACCATGCTGAAATAGAGCCATCTCGATACCATTAGAACGAGTGGCACTAATCCGGTTAAGAGTACTTGAATAAAGGTACTGTATTAAGTACTTGAAAAAAGGTACTGTATTAGAGTACTTGAATAAAGATACTATATTAGAATACTTGAATAAAGGTACTGTATTAAGTGCTTGAATAAAGGTACTGTAATAGAGTACTTGAATAAAGGTACTGTATTAGAATACTTGAATAAAGGTACTGTTTTAAGTACTTGAATAAAAGTACTGTATTGTGCTATATTGATAAGCCTGAGTAATAGACTACATGCATTGACGACTATACAGCTACAATTGCCAGGGATCCTAGTTTTCAGGGATTTAGGGTTTAGGGTTGGTTCTGATTGTGAGTGCACACTAACTGCGACTGGCCCGCTGTTTGGGAGTCATGTGGTGGTGGCGGCGAGTGTGTCACCATTTGCTGGCGTCCTTGTTGAGTAACGAAATTATCTATTCGCTTGAGCGTGATATCTAATAAGAAAAACTTTGGGTACCAATTGATAGTGAACAAAACAGTCCAAAAACTGTAGTACTTTTCGAGGGCGAGTATGGACTAAAAAGGAATACGCATTCTCTGATAGGGATAATAAGTCACTGTATGTAACCATGGTCTGGTCGTGACTTAGCTGCCACCTGTTCCCTATTTCATGAATATCATAACACACCCTACAACAGTCACGTGTATGTAGCCATGGTCTGGTCGTGACTTAGCTGCCACCTGTTCCCTATTTCATGAATATCATAACACACCCTACAACAGTCACGTGTATGTAGCCATGGTCTGGTCGTGACTTAGCTGCCACCTGTTCCCTATTCATGAATATCATAACACACCCTACAACAGTCATGTGTATGTAACCATGGTCTGGTCGTGGCTTAGCTGCCACCTGTTCCCTATTTCATGAATATCATAGAACACCCTACAACAGTCACGTGTATGTAGCCATGGCCTGGTCGTGACTTAGCTGCCACCTATTCCCCCCCTGCGCGTCCGTTGGTGATAGGGCCACCAAGTGTGTCTGCCACTTTCGCCTGCCACAGCACAATGTGTATTCCCACACTACGGACAGTGGTTGCTGCTACAGACTCGTAGTTGTGTGGAAGCTGTACTACAAGCACAACACTCTCCCGTATCTATAACTGTGCCACAGGCTCTGCCTTGGCACTTGCTGTGGCTTGGGAGGTGTGGTTCCGCTGGAGTGTTTGGCACTACTATTAGCATATTCGGCAACGACTTAGGGTTTAGCGTTTAGGGTTCAGGGTTTTAGGGTTTTAGGGTTAATGTTTGGTTCTCCATATGGTCCTAAAATTCGGGAGCAGATACACCTCCTTCATAGTCAAGGGCTGGTTGGTATCGCAGACATAACATAAGCGCAGCAGTTGTCAGTTCTCGTACGCACGTACGTAGGCAGTAACAATACCTCCCATCGCATTGGCTTGCCTAGCTTATCTTAAACGCAAACTACTACTGACATCCTAACTTATCTTAAAGGCTAACAACTACTTACAATATACTAGCCATGCGCTTGTACTAATGGTCCCGTTTAGGCCCAATGATCGCACGCTCGGGTGCATGCGAGCACTTGCCCAGGATGCCCTCAGTGTCAGTTGACATGAAGGTGACAGCCCCATACACCGCACCCTCTGCACCTGCGTTGTTGGCCTCCTCAGTGTACTACGGAGGCGCACAGACACGCCCTTGTCACTGACACATTGCATATGCTCATGTGCCTTCAGAAGGCAACCTTGAAGCGCCCTACCTCAGTCATATTGGACCGTATTAAATACCCTGGAAACATGTGTCGCACTAAGACTACCTACTCACACTACCTAAGCAAGCACTACCTACTCACACTACCTATGCAAGCACTACCTACTCACACTACCTATACAAGCACTACCTACTCACACTACCCAGTGCATGCACTACCTACTCACACTACCTAATACAGCCACTACCTACTCAC